GCGGCGCGCTCTACGCCGTGGTCGCCCCGGCCACCCTCGACGTCGTCGTCGCCGCCGGGAAGGATCGCGCGGTGCGGGTGTGGGATCTCCGCGCCCGCGCCGTCGTGCGGTGCCTCCGCGGCCACGCCGACAGCGTCCTCTCGCTCGCGTGGCAAGGGGTCGAGCCGCAGCTGATCTCCGGCGGGGGGACGGGGCGGTGTGTGGGTGGGATCTCACCACCGGGACCCTGCAACGGCGGCTGACGCGGCATAAAAAACCCGTCCGCGGCCTCGCCCTCGCCGCGGCGGGGCGCATGCTCGTCTCCTGCGGCGCGGACGACATCCGCGTGTGGGAGATGCCTTCCGGGGAGTACCTCGGCACCGCGAGCACCCTCCTCGACGATAAGGACGAACCTGAAAGCGAACACCCCACACTGCGGGCAAAGCGAAAGAAAACGGAGGAGCTCGCGTATCGTTGGAGCGCCTGTGCGATGAGCCCGCGGGAGGTTCTCGCCGTTGGCAGCGCGGATGGCGAGCTCGCGTTTTACGACTGGAAGGTTCCACAAGCGGCGCCGATTGCGACCGCGACGGGGCCCGCGCGACGGGTTTATCACTTTCGTCCATATCAATTCACGAAGACGAAATCGATCCCGGGCACCCTACCTGGGGAAGGGGGGATTAACGCGATGGCGTTTGACTTCTCAGGTACCCGTCTGATCACGGCGGAGAGCGATAAAAGTGTTAAGGTGTGGAAGCTAAAGGATACGTGAAAGGACGAAGTGGCGGGTTGGAGTTTGGCGAGCAGAGGAGGGGGGAAGGGGAGAGAAGATGCATTAAGAAAGAAATGAAGGTAAGGGGGAAACTTTCCAGGCAGGATCGGGAGCGCTTTCCTTGGATCCTTCGGATGTCATCACCCTAAATATTGGGGTGTTGCTTGCTCTTTATATAGCTATATTATTTAAGCGTGCTGCGGATGCGTTTATCGTGTTGGATTATGGACTATCGGATGAATCTTCTTCAATCGGTGTTTGGGCACCCTCCCCTTTCTTTCCTATTCTCCTCCCTTAGTTCGTATTCTTAATCCCACCACTTTATTCTCGGAACGCGTACCACAGGGAAGTTTTTTTTTTCAAAAATCTCCCCCTTGTGAATGCGTTCTTTCTTTGACCTCGTTGAGCCTTCCCATTGCATTTTTGGTCTTCGTCATCGCACGCCAGCCCAGTGAGTCGTTTCACGCCGGGGGAAGGAGGAGGGGAAGGGTGGATGTCTGGCTTTTCCTCCAACGACCCCAACACCCTTCGCGTCCTCGTCGTAGGGGAAAGCAAGGTGGGAAAGACGCTCTTTATTCGTCGTTTGTGCTACGACGTCTTCGCCTCGGCGGCCTCGTGGGAAGGGGGGAATCGCTTCTATTGGGAAAACGCGTGGCCGCCGACGGTGGGGGTGGCCGTCGACGTCCTCATTCGCGACGCCCCGGTGGAGGATCGCCCGCGGCCAACGTTGGCTTCCTCGCCCATATCCGTGGATGACGACTTTGACAGCGTCGAGGTGGGGATCCCCACGGGAAGGGAGGAAGTTTTCTCTAAAGAAGACGAGGAAATCGGCCTGCAGGTGGAGAAGCGATCCCCCCTGCTCGCCTTCCGCACGCAGACGATTGAACTCTACGAGTTGGGTGGGGTCGTCCGGCCTGGGGCGGGCGCGATGCTACCATTGCAGCGCCTTCATTTGGATGGCGTCGTTTTTGTTTACGATCGCGCGGATGTGCGAAGTAGCGCGCGGCTTCGCGGGTGGTTCGCCCTCGTGCGGAAGTTTCTCTTTTCGGAAGGGGGGAAGGGGCCGCACCTGATGCTGCTCGGCGCGTTGCGGAAACCCGTTCGGGCGTATCTCCCTTCCCTTTCAGGGGGTCGTGAGCCCCTTCCTTCTTTGCCGGATGAGCTGCTCCTCGATCCCGCCTTCCGTGTTCGCGTTTGGCAGGGGATGGAAAAAGCTCGCGATGCCTCGCCAAGGGGTGAAGGTGGATGGATTCGCCCTTTGAATTATTTGATCGCCTTCATGCGAGCAGTGGGGTGGGTGATGTGGATGTTGATGAGTCCATCCCTGGTGCTGTCGGAGATGTTTCAGGAGGAGCGCGGGGATGTGTATTTTCGTGCGTGGGTTGGGAAAATTGAGTGGTGTGCGCGGTGGATGATGTGGATTGATCATTGGATGACCGTCGCGTTGACGGTGTTGTTGTTTGGGGCCCCTGAATCTTCCTTCCAGGAGCCATGCCACAGCTCCAGGTCGGTTCTAAATCGGATTCATGAGGACCCTCACTGCATCGTGCACGTTCACGCTTGCCACCTGTACGACCGCATTGCATTCGAATCCACCATCGATGAAATTACCAGTTTCTTTGACACCCTGCATCGGTATAAAATCGCACGCTATTACAAACAGCACTGAGGGAGATTTAGATGTACACTGTCAGGTCTGTTTGTTTTGGGAGGTGTTGACATAATCCCGTTCTCCTCATAACTATTTTTTTTCCAATTATGCACATAAATTATGTCGTTATACTCGTCCAAACTTTTGTGCATATCTTTTCTGTTGATCTTATCGTTGCACTCTTACAGTGGAAGACGTCGCGCGTCGTGATGAAACGCAGTCTTTTTAGGATGGACTTTGGATTCTACATGGCAGAAAAGAACTATCTTTCACTTTGTTGCATACAACATGCGGCAAGAACAGAGAACGAGTTAACGGGAGGAGGGGAAGGTTCACACGCGATCCGTACATCAGTTTTGATAAAGAAAACAAATAAACAACAACACAAAATACAATAACAGAAAAAACAGCGTAGGTGACATCACAAGTTACCCCTTC